TGCTGTTGAAGCACTGTATTCCACCAGGCCTAAAGAGGGATTACCATAATTCCGGTCTTTGGCTGCCATATGTTTACCGAATGCTCTGTTGGGCTTCTAAACCCCACTACACTGAGGCAACCCAGATATACTAATTGATTAATGAATTCAGAAGGACGGGACAAGTACCCAACTGGGAACTATGACTTCTCTATGACTTCTAAGGCTTGCTCCATCTATCGCGTAGTGAAAAAATGTCGTGTGTCCGGCTATGCTTCCGATTCAGTCCTCCCTGCCGTGATTTCGAAATTGAAAGTTCAGAACAACATCATGAGCTGTCGGTCGGCAATCAGAATAATTTTCCTAATAGAAAAGTAGGTTTCCAAAACTTTACAGAGACTCCGTTGTACTAGACAATCTGCTTAATGGGAATTTAGTCATCCGGCTAACTACCATCATGAAATCTGAGAGCGGAAGGACTCCCTCTAAGTCAGATAAACACAGTCAAGACGTTGGTGATCACTCAGGGATACTTAATCCTACAAGTATCTGTAAACAAGTGCCCCAGTCAGAAGGTCCAGCATGTGATTAATGAGGTTGTTGACGGAAAATACACACCCACAGTGCAACTTCACACCACAGAGATTGTTTTTGTCCACATAACTCCGAGCATGGCCCTGGGAGAGCTGACAAAGCTTCTCCAGGATAAACTCTTTGGATTAGATGCTACTAAAATAATGATCATCAAGCATTGCGCTGGGACGCCAAACTAATTTGCCATAGAATCCGGCATATCGACGCAAGGTGATGGGATATCAGAACTGACCTATCTCCTCTCCTGTTATTTAAGGGGAAAGCGACAAAACACGAAGTGTTATTGAGCAGTAGGTTGACCGTGAAAAGTATCAAAGGTGATGGAAAGCCTGTTGGAAAATCAGTACAGAGCAAATACAAATCGGTAAGGATTTCTGCACGAAGCCACTCATGGATTTAGGGGGTATGGTGTCGTGATACCAACTTATTGACAGCTTGGAATAATTCGACACCATGCTAGGACCAGAATATCCAAGTCTTTATCCAGTATCTGTACCACGATAAAGCATCGGGGATGGGGATTTATGACATACTGCTTTGAAAAATGTCATGAATGGGGATTGATAATTTGCTGCTAGCATTGATTGAAGCCTGTCCCTAGGGCATGTTATTCCCCACAAAGGAAAATTGAACACGTTCCCTTAATAAAACAGAACGCCATCTAGAACTGCTTCTGACAGATAAATCAGACAAAAGTGCTAGTCGTGAAGGAGACGCAGTTGAAGTTATTCAAGCAATCTTCCTTGTGCGTTGGCTGTTGGGTTTATTTGCACCTAGACTATTCGGGCAACCATGCAAAACTTATGTGTGGTCACACCTAGAAGTTCATAACATCTCTGCACCACCATTCCTGAAAAGAGAAGAGAACACTCAAGAAAGAGTAGAAAAGAGGGCCACCCAAATTTTCATCGAACTGAAAGGCAGAGCGTGAGTTGACTGATTAAAACAGGTGGACCTATGTACCCTCAGCTACCATAGAACCAATGGAGATCTTGCCGCAACATACAAGATAAGGTACCGATCTAAAATATATTACAAAGGTCAATAGAGGAGTTGTGCTTGCACCGCACAATCCCATTCAAATGAGCGCACCTAATTTGGACATGATTCACCGTTCTGATATGATTTTTATTACTACACTTGACTCTGTGAGTTTTGTCGTATGCTTTTATTCCTGCTATGTGTGCGCGCACCCCGGTTTTTTTAACCTGTACTAAACCTCGTCATCTTGCTCTACCTTCTTCAGTGTGCTCGCCTGTCAAGGCTTTCTGCAGAGTATTTGTAGACCTAGCCGGAGGATTGCCCGGTGAGACGAAATTTGAAGGCTCCGGCAAAGCCACCGCCCCGGTGTAAATTAAACAATCTCTGCAAAATAAACCAATGTACCCACCTAGCAATGCTGCAGTGGTCAGGATGAGAGATGACAGTGGAATTCGACTAAGATTTGGAATTGTTTCGAAGCAATTAGAGGTGAGAGTCAGGAAACTGTTACATTGCGATTCTGTAGAAATATACTGCAAGCCGTTGGGAATATAGGAGTGACTGTGGGTTTCGGAGACGATACAAGGTGGGGCCTTAGTCGAAAGTCGCCGAAACCATATTATATTCTAACTAGTGACCAATCACTAGTTGAAAATTTCAGGATCATGACATCACTATGAAGTAGTGAGCATGAAGTCATGGGATTTGACGTTGTTCTCCGTGTGCACCTACATTGAAACGCTACGCGACCATGTCTGTGCTGTAAGAAAGCGGACTACGCTGAAATGCAGATGCTTTTGCCCGGCTCAGAATGACCGTTAGCATAAGGTGGTTTATCTGTGGATAAACACTGCTAAGTCGTAAAAGAGATTATTCACAAAGCGATCTCAGGTACCGTCCCTTTAGTCACAACACAGCTGGAGAATCGGTCCTCATGGCTGAAGAGAGGCACTCAACGTATTCTGCAAGCAAAGCTGAAGGCCTGGTTTACGTGGTGAGTATCCAGGAGTCATACCAATGACGATCCACGCCTGGAATTTAGAAGCCAATTTAAAGTGAGAGACAGGACTGACAAGAGGTCATTTCAGGCTAAGCTTGCCAAAAACTCTTGGCGAACCCCAGAAGCTTATATCGATTCATATCGGTAAGAAAACCAACCAACCAGGGGGCATAGGCTTTAGGGGGTCCAAACCGCCAATACCTCACTAGTCTGGAGATGACTCAAACATTCAGTTTAGCCTTCGCTAAACGGTCAAGCGGAAATGTGAGTATTACTGGCAATAACCAAAACGACGGCGCTACTACTTCACCGGAGGAAAATCTGATAGCTACTCTCCAAGTAAGCCGGCGATAGTGTTAGAGAAACTACAGAGACCCATATCTGGAAAGTTCTCACGTTGTGACGACATCAGGACATCTGCTCTGAAATAGTGCGCCGAAGCTCTGTGTAGACCCTTTGTGACTTGTTCCAGCGCTTGATGGATCCGGGGAAACTGCCAAGGGAGTGGAAAAGAGCTATCCTTTCTCCGGTCTTCAAGGGTGGGGATATGCTAAATGCCACTAGTTATACTCTAGTAGCGCTACTCCCAGTGGTATCAAAGGCACTGGAGGCATAATTCCTGGTCACATTGGGGAGCACCTCGATAGTACTAATAGACTGAATGAAGCCCAATACGGTTTCAGAAAAGGCAGATTCTGTGTAACAAACCTACTATCAGCCTGGGACGATTGGACACCATGCTGGGTTATGAATGTTCCACTCCATATGGTCGCCCTATACTTTGAGAAGGACTTGACGAAGTTTACCGTGACCTTTTCCTACATAAAATAAGTCAGGTGGGTAAAGGTGAGCCGCTTCTGTCATGGTTGAAGAACTACCTAGCTGAAAGGAAATTCTGAACTAAGGCCAATCGAGTCCGACCATCTTGGCACGGCTCGTCACTAGGAGTGTCACGATGTTCTATCCCAGGACCACTGGTGTTTTTGGTTTTTGTCGATGACCTACCACATCATCTAAGCTGCCCGACTCTTCTACACGCTGACGACGTAAAGATATAGAGACCAACAAAGTGTTCGGAAGACACAGATAGGCTTCAGTCAGATTTAAAGTTTCCGGAAGACTGAGCATCGGCTGTTGGTTTGACTTTCAACCTGAAATTACGCACCTGTAGACTGCAAAATGAAAGTTACACCCTGTGCAACGAAAACTTGTCCTGTCCCACGTCGGAGCGTGACTGAGGTGTAGTTCTCAGGGAATAAGTAAACACAAGCGTGAATAACACGTTGGATGTAGCGAGGGCATATGCGGTCATGCAATCTACACGTAAACATTTAGGTGCACCCACTCCTGAGCTCTTTGTGAGGTTGTAAAAAGCACGCTCTGAAAGGCACAATATCGTTTCACCTCCACTGCTAAGATGAGACAAAAACGTCTTGGAAAGAGTCCAAAATCGGGCGACAAAAAGAGTCGTTGGTCTTCGAAATAAGCCGTATGATGAAAAGCTAAGGAGAGTACGCCTATCACACTTAGCTACCGTCGGTCAAGGGGGATTAGATTACTGTTTACAAGATAACAAATGACGAGAATCATCGAAACGAAGGTGATCTGCCATTGATTAGGTATAGGCTTCCCCGTGGAAATCCCAGAAGGATAGCTCACCGGTGGGCAAGGACCGGGGTGTGCTCCCACTCCTTTTCACTGCGGGTTTTGCGCCCCTAGAACTCCTTACTGAAAAATGTAGCTACGAAACCGTCTGTAGGCACCTTTAAGCGAAGGCTGGACAACCACACAGCAACACAAGGACTGCGTCCAAATGGTCTATCCCCTTAAATCCCATACACCATTCATTGGTAGACAACTAAATTCGTCGTTACACTTCTCGACATTCTCTCTTGTTTTGCTCTCCTGACAACAACTACTACACTTACGCTTATTATCATCATTGATATTATATACATAAATACATGCATATATATTTCAACTTCACGCCTATTTAACTGTCTGCTTTTACGTTTTCCTCATCTCTTTTTATGTCTTTTAGTCTGAATAACCTACACTAATTGTATCTGTTATTATAATTACTATCATCATCTCTTTTCTTTTGTCGGCGATACCTCAGGACTAAGTGGTGAAAGGATCAACCCCACACACAATAGAAACAAAGTCTTAACATGCCACATGCCACAAACAGCATATAATTAATCCCAGCACTACTTTTGTAGTCAATCATAGCTAAGACAGTCGAGTGGCGGGATGAACTACGCGTAAGTCCATCGAAGACCAGGATCCTTTACCTCACAATCACGAAGCGAGCACAAAGTAATCAAATTAGTTTTTACTGGCCCGTGAAAACGCTTTTGCATATTGGAATTTATGGGACCTATTCAATGGACATTGGATATTGAATTAGTACCGATTTGCAAGGGCGGCTTTGTTAATACGCAAGATGAGCCGTAACATTTACTACTCAGAGAAGTACTACGATGACGTATTCGAATATAGGTAGGCCTGCGAAATCATAATAGTTGTTATTTGACTACACTTTAGGCACGTTCATTTACCAAAAGATTTAGCAAAGCAAGTGCCCAAAAGTCACCTTATGTCTGAAGTGGAGTGGCGAAAATTGGGAATTCAACAATCAGCTGGTTGGGTCCACTATATGATTCATGAACCAGAACCACATATTATTCTTTTCCGACGACCACGTACCGATATACAATCTACAACATCAAGTACCTCCACAAAAAGCGGATCTGGACAGGTCCCAATGCAAGCGTAGTTGTATTTGTGAATACCGCGTCCACTTGACTTGTGGAATTACTTTGGTTACAAGATGTTGGTTAAATTTTTCTGGCAGTTAAATACTAATTGCTTGTGTTCATAAAATTGCTTATTACCTATGTGTACTCTTCGTAGTCTTTTCATCAATCTGTAGAACTTGGTCTGGCCCCAGGTGCACTACACTACTTGTATGACTGTTTTGCGCGTAGATTGCTAATGTCTACAAAACACTGTCTAGGTAGTTTGTTTGAATTCTGAACTGGTCAGTTTGTTGGTTAAACTGAAAATTTAGCTCGAGTCGTTTGCCGCGGTTGTCCGTGTGAAGTGCATAAATATCGACATCCTACGACTCACTATGTGATGTTGCCACAATGAATAACGCCTCTTAAAGTGCTAGGCGAAATTTTAGCAATACCTGACTAAAAGTGAACAATTCCATGCATAATATCGTTGGTGACTTATTCATTCTTTGAATATACCTGCCGTTGTAATGAATCGTCTAGTCCATAGTCCCTGTTTGTGAAGTTATTTTGATTTCATTGTAAAGCTTTTCAATAGGAATCTGTCTGTTGCCTCCCCACCTGGAAGTGGAATTTACAGGCATGCTTCGTGAAAATAAACAACTTCAAAAAACTTTAGATTGGATCGATGTATCTCGACTTCAGGGGCATTCAATCTTATTCTTGTGGTCTTATATTAACTAGTGTTCAGTTTTATCACTGCGCAGAAGAGGCTGCGTTCTCGATTTTAACAAGTGATTCGTGTCAGTAGCTTGTTTGGTAAACATCTAGTGATTGATAATCATCTAAGAAACTCGATAGTGTTGCTTCCATCTAGAGACCTATAGCTGAAAATTAGTCACTGTGACTGCTGAATTTGCAACACCGAACTTAGTAGGCGCCAGTTCATTAATGTTGTTTCCCCTATTTGTTGAGTCATCTTCCTCACACTCATCACTCTTGCTTCACCCAGGAGAGATGAAGTCGTTGTGAGATATCTTCTTACTGTATATGCGCGACTGGCATTCCTGCACTTAAGAGCCTGGAATCCATTCGGGACATGCCGTATTGCTTTTGTGATTTATTGTCCTACTGTGTCACTATAGTTGTTTGGGGTGAAGCAAAACAAACGACTAGCTTTTGTGGTATCTACGTGCCATTCCTTTGTCTATGAAACAGCTCCGATATCATTTGCAATCACCTCCATCTCTGAGACTTGTCTGGCAACTCTAGTATAATAAAGTGTACGAATAATATTGAGTGAGTATATTATGTCGAGTGCATAGCAGTCAATGCTTGAGCACTAATAAATATATATGATGCTAGATGCTTGAAGACAATGGTAAATCAAACCTTCACCTGATCGGTTGGAAAACCAAGTAGGTACCATCATGTATGTTCCTACCCCGTTTTTACCATCGTTCGAAGCCATTGAGTCACGTGTTCCTCTAGACCACCTACCAGTGAGGGTAGTTATTACTGCACACAGTGTCAGGTGATAATCTCATTTTCGTGTAATTCCAGGTTAGGTGGAGTGGTAGTCAGCGAGACATTTACTAGAAAGCTGTAGCGTAGTTCGTCGAAATCGTTCTAATATAACTCTGCACAACCGTAGACCCACGCTTCATTTCTCCTCGCTCCCTCGACGACTGACTGACGCATCTCGAAGCAGCACACAGAAAGTATAGGGCAGAGATAGAATGATGCATTGGAAATGTGAGTTTTGGGGAAAGGATTTCGAGTCATGGTACTGAGTCTCATGATGGGGATTTTTAGTATGATGAAGTTCCTAGACAGCCCATCCCTCAGTGCGTTGTTCACATCAGTAGTTCGGTACTTCATTGTTTTGATTTAACAACGCCTGGCCCTTTTCCAACTTTATCTTACATCACTTAACATCCCTCTTATGTGAGTGGAGGGTCATGATGTATAACACATCCCAGCCTCTCTGTTGGACTCGCCTCAAAGTTATGTGCATTCTCGGTATAATTTTTCACTTGATTTGAGTGAATATATGAAGACACTTCGGTTCTGAAACCTGCGCTCTTTTCATGTTTTACTGACCTTGTTCCCACTATAGAAAAGTAAAAGCAAACTGGTGTTTAATGACTATTCCACGGGACTCATTCTGCTATTTTACTTCTTAACGCTAAACTACTAGATAATGCAGCAACATAGGGTGTCTGTAAGGAGCAAAGTACCCATTACGCATCCAAATTATGGCTCACTGGCATTGGAAATAAATCCAGCCTCCTTTATTTGTAACTGTTGCATTTTGTGATGGTGGGTAAACTTGTTTCCACTTCGACTAGAAGATTCTTTGTTTCAATTACACTTCTGCAGTTGAAAATTTTGCGTCTCATATGTCTTATAAATAGGGCAGGGTAAGGAAAACTGCATCTCTGTAGTTAAGTGAATTGATCATTTAATTGTGTGTAGTTGTCACAAAGTTATGCCTTCGAAATGATAACTTCCTGTGCATGTGTCACGAGCAATTCGGGCGTGGTTCACATACATGTTCTGTTGTGATTGTTTCCGCTAGCCTGTTTTACCGACGCTGACTCTGATATTGATTCCAAGAGAAGTAGTCTTTGACCGACTCACCTGTTCGAAAACCAGTCACATTTTAGTCGGTAGCTACTCTCTAAATAGTTCATGTTGAATGGTAGAGGAGTCATGTTGCGCAATTGCATTACAAATGCAGCTCATATGACGTGTGATACACAAGTGAAGTTTCCTGGTTGTGCGTTAGTTATCACAAAGGTAGTGTTTGTTTCTGTTAGGATGATTAGCTGACACAGGAAATAATCATTCCCTCCCAGAGATATAAGTAAAGCATTAATCTTGACATCTTAGGATGCACATGGATATCATTAGAAAAATTTGTTGCTGCATCGTTTGAAGAAAGATTCCTACGAAAACCACATTTAGGTACGAACTATGAAATGGAGACTAACGCGAAAATAGATATAAATTTGCATAGATGCAGTTATTATTTTAAATTCAACGTACTAGCGAAGGAAGATTGAAAGTGATGACGATTTTCAATTTGATATGGAATTTTGAAGGTATCAGTATAGGTAACGAGGAGCGTAGAAATAAAATAACATGGGATTGGAAAATGGTTGTATAATGTGTGAAATAGTTTTTAAGGAACACAGATGTGAAGGGAATATACACAGGCACAAAATAAGATGATAGCTTTTACAGTTGAAGATGATGGGAATGAAGGAGCCAAACAGAGCGGGATGTGTGGTAAATTCAGAGGTTGGGTTAATTTCTTTTGAACATATAGCTCCGGATTTTTGAAGCATACGGCGAGGGTTTCTGTGATACGAAGTCGGAAAGATTGCCTCTGATGGATTTTCGTTAACATTGTAAATGACTCTGAATGATGAGTCGGTGTGATAGGTGCTGAGTGTTCATTTGTGGCGTTCCTGGTTGAAGCAGTTCCTCCACGTCGCAACCAGGCTGGGTAATGTTCCCGAAATAACGTGCATAGAGCGACTGTGTACGTAACCCAACAGAGGCAAGTTGATTGACATATGCAAATTAGAATGACTGGATGCGGGAGTTTGTCATTTGAACTTCTTAGAATAAGTCGGCGGCTGGAGAATATCACTGTTGGCTTTACTGCAGGAAAGGTCTTCTTTAGGAAACTAGAGATTCTCTTTCGGATATCTGTTGATAAGTCTCCTCCGAATCTTTGATTCAATTACTAATTCCACTGTGAATATAATTGAAAGATGACACTTTTTAAATTCTTGTAAAATACAATTTAAAGCGGAGTCATCATGACACACTATAAAAGTTTTGTCAGCATATCTTCTGTGCATCAGTAACTTGTCTGTTGTCGATTTTAGGATTCCGTTTTCCAAACTGCCCATGAAACAGGTTACCAAAAATGAGCCAGAAGGAGAGTGCGTATTGATTCCATCTTTCAGCCTGTAGGTATCGTTGTGTAAGGTGAATGTATGAACAGCGAGTGGTGCAGGAGCGTCTGGGATGACACTCGTACATATGTCTAGGCCACCGAGGTCAGTGTTTTAAGATGACCCCACTCAATGAAAGGTGACCACCGTGTCGAAACACACGCTGCCGGATCTCAGAATTACTAACAATGATGTCATGGGGCCCAAGCCATACTACAAATTCAGCGACAATGGAACAGGCAGGGTCGCCATACACCACGCCTCAGAGAAGGCAGGTTTCACAGGTGGTGAGCAAGACTGCGCTGACTGGCCCACAAAAGCCAGGTTTATGTCGCCAGAGTTGGTTTGAAATAGCGTATGTCAGTCCAGGCGGTAGTCCCCACGTACAATAAGCAGGTGCTTCAAATCGATTTTTCAAACTCGGAATAGTAAGCTGATACAAAACCACTGAAGGAGCAACACGACTCTCCAGGTCAATTGCATCCATGGAAGTGTATAAATGTTAGCAGTGAATAGGTAGTAAAAGAGGTTGAATGCCGTGGAAAAGTTTGAATTCTGAAGACGGGATTTCCTCGTGTTACTACATGGAGAGTTTATTTCTTCCTTCGTATGCACCCAAGGAATCAATGCTGAGATATGGTAGTGATGTTGCTTATATCTTGGAAGTGAAAAGATATCCTCATGAATTCCTCACACATCCAGTCGCGCCCTAGTATTTAAAATTCCTTACTATCAACAGTAGTTTTGTTAGCACAAACGGAGTTCGTACTACTAGTTAGGCGTATGAGATTTCTATTGCGGTGGCTTTTCATTCTATAACGGATTATGACTTCCTGGCTAAATCGCTTCCTAAATTTACAAACAGGATGAGAAACACGGACACCTATAAGAGGCAAGAAATATCAGGAGTTCATAACAAGCTGTGTACACTCTGTCGTCGTCCATTTCCTTAGAAATAATCTGCTCCGAATAATGTAGGATCTCTCAATAATACGACACATCCAACCAACACATAATAGTGTAACACACATGAAAGATTACAGCTTATAAACGTAAGGACTACTGAA